GAACGAGTCAAAGCGCGCTTTGTTCAAATCCGGACCAATCAAAGATAAGGCTGAATATCAGGGACTTGCCGTAACCTGTGGGCAGCACGCAAATAACATCGTCTCTCAGTAGATAATGATGCATGGCCTCAAACTGCTAGACCCTATGGTTTCAATTCCGATTTACTCATATTTTGCAAAGAATCAAGAGATAACTTAACACATTCTTTTTCGTAGTCACTCGCCTTGCTTTCTTTGTGTACGGTAATACACTCGGAACTACTCGGATGTCTCCGCACTCGACAATAACTTTGTTGTTAGTATGGAGCCTGCGGAATCAACCGAGGATTGCCGATTGCTGGTCAACCAATCAGCGTTTTCACCAAACTTTGGTGAAAAATTTTGAAACTTGGATTCGATTGGCTTATATAAACTAGGTCAAACTATTTTCGTCAGAGGTTACTTGACACGATGGAGATAGGCTACAGTGAAAAGGTTAGTGTCAAGTGAGCTCTGAAGCTCAGGGTGCACGTCTGTAATTGCCATAGAAAAATACAAATCCTTCATTCAGTAGCTTGAAAATAAACTTAATTACCAGGGTCTACTTTACCAGGCAATTAATATTTGCTATGCTGATAGTTACTGTTTGATCAATGGTGCCAATACTTAAGTCATAAATGTAAGACAATGCATTGTGTTAGTTGTTCCTGGATAATAATTAAACAACTGAATTGTGAGTCATGAAGCTAGATGTACTGTTTTCTGCACTATTTCATGATAATTGTACATGTAGAGTGAAAGACAATCTTTGCATGCACACTGCGCTGTGCTTTGTAATGTGACTGGTAACATTCGACAGCCATGGGAATCACATAAAAAGACAATAATACTCATTCACCACAACAGACGACAAAAAAAAATCTACTTCACCATAGTGGTTTGTTGTGAAACAGTAGCCTACCGTTACAATAAAACTGAAATCAAAAGCATGCATACCAATCTTATTGACATCCACCTTTGCTGAGGTAATGGTCCTGATGAAGTCTTTGTCAATGGTTTCTTTAGCCTGCCTCACCAGGTCTCTAGTTCCCCGCAGGACCAGTTCTCCTTCCTCTGGTTTGATGTCAAATGATACTCGGAGTACAGGGTTTTTGCTATGTAACATAATATGAGAACAAAGGGTTAATATGACAACCCTGCATGCTAGTTGATGTGATATAAGAAGACCTGATCAAAATTCATCTGTCATCTTCAATAAGTACACTCAAACCCTAAGTGTTTTGACTTGAATATGCGTTTTCCATACAGCCAGCTATATGCTTGCATCACAAGATTTTTACTCACCTGTTAAGCATCTCAAGGGTCTCCCTAATTTTGTTCTTGATCTGTGGAATACTCAGGTACTTAAGTTCTCTTTTGCCAGCAGTGAGTGCAGCAGTCACAATGGCATTCACTTCAAAATAGTCTTGCACTGCCTTCAAACTCTCTTTCACTTCTTTCAAAAATCCTAAAAGTTAAAATCTTACAACAGTTATTTTTTGTTATAAATTAGAATAAATTTTAACAATTTCTCTTTATCATTTATTTAAAGGCATGCTCTATTTATAGCATCTAAACAACCCCATTTTAATGCTATATTTTATATGTATTTAAAAATGAGTACAATAAATTAACTCTTTAAAAAGGAACATGGTTCATTTAGATCATCATCTCCAAGACCCCATTTCCAGAGATTAGATCGATCTACTTTAGATTGACCTAACTCCCTGGGGGTTCACGCTAAATAGCTGTCAGCCGGGCTGACACGAAAGTTAATTACCCTCTTACAGCTTGTAGTAGGCGGGACGGACATTTAAGCCGGATTATCTGACAGTAATCTAGTGAGACTCCCCGCGGGGATAGATCGATGTAAAAGCTCTGGGAATACAGCCCAAGACATATCAGGAGGATTAAAATACTGACTTTATGTACTTTTATTTGAGACATTTTATCATAACATTATTATAATTATAATATCCGAATTATGAGTACTTAAGATATCAGATGACTTCTTTGTGACAAGAATTATTCTTTTAAAAATACATATAATAATATAGTCAGCTGTATATATATGTTTCACACAGCATATATGCATGCACAGTACATGTACCTTCAAATACGATGATGGCTCTGTCTACAGTAATAACCACTAGGTGGCGACACTGCAGGTCTTCTATGACTTTCAGGAATGTGGCTGTTGCCAGCATTCCTTGGCTGTCTGGATCAACATCATACTGCTCTTTGTGCAGTAGGGCCAGTAGCACAGATACTGCCTCTTCAGCATTCTTCTCACCTTTAAACACAAAAAAAGTCTAAATTGATGTCTGTACATTAATTTCTTATTATTGGTCAATTAGATCCAAATTTCCTAGACAAAAATTAACATTTATTACAAATTTCTATTATATACAATAGTAATTGTGAGGTTGCCACTACCAATGGTTCACAACAATATGGTGACAATGCAATTCATTTGTTAAACGAACCAACAACCTTAAAGGGATAATAACTCTTTGTATGAGATCTATATTTCACAATAAAAACATTGTGAACAACTCATAGAAATATGATATATTCTATTTTACCACAAAAACAGCAGTTATAGCTATTATTCTGATATCTGAGCTTGTCTTCAGACCACGTGACTTCCATTGATGGCTATACTCTGTTATAATCTCTTAAGAGATTTTAACAAAAAACCAAACTTTTTAGAAAAAAACCAGGCACTAACTTTGAATGTAAAATGGATTCATTAACCATTGGTAAGTATGGAAAAATTGTTGTTTATTACAGGAAAATTCATTTTTTGGCCAAAACGAAGAGTTATTATCCCTTCAATGAATCACACAATGTACCTAACCTAACACAATGTGTCACACCTAACATAATATATCACACCTCACAATTAGCCACGTATAACTTATCACACATAACAAAATTAATGTGTCACAACAAGCACACTGTCACATCTAACACATATTACATAACAAAATGTGTCACACCTAGCACAATAGTGCACACCTCAGATATTAGTCACATTCAACATAATGTTTCTCACCAAACACAATGTCAATGGCCCGAAAAACAATGATTGTATCCAACACAGTGTTATACAGTCAGCACTTTGCCCAGTAAACTGGTACTCACCAAGTGCAGTAATTGCTATTACACTGCCACCAACTTTCCAAACAACATCAATAGCTTTATTCTCAAAGGCTTTGTTAATCCTGTCTGCAGCTTCTTTCTTTTGAAGCAAGTCATGCAAGGGCAGAGATACAGGTGCCATCTTTTCTGAGACCTCCTGTGAAATAAGACATGCTCAGCCATTATAAACTAGACAGCAACCCTGACAAATATACAGACACTAAAAAGAACAAAGTATTATCCATAACTCCAGTCTTATGTAATCAGGCATATTACAGCAAGTTACAAAATGGTGGCTTTTTTTGCAAGCTGCTACTTGTTTTGCAATGAGCTTATTATTTTTCATCAGCAATATCCTGGATCCACCAGTAATGCCCTGATTAAGAAACATCCAACACATCACTCACAGAAGAACACTTATAGAACAAGAACCAATAGTCTTTGTCAAATCTTGGACCCCATTCCCAGAGATTAGATAGATCCAACTAGATCGACCTAACTCCCTGGGGGTTCATGTTAAATAGCTGTCAGCCGAGTGGGCACGGAAGTTAATTACCCCCTTACAGCTTGTAGTAGGCAGGACAGACATTTAAGCCGTAATGTCTGACAGTAATCTAGTGAGACTCCCCACGGGGATAGATCAATCTAAAATATGGGAATGCGCCCTAATACTTGACATTCATAGTCACAAATCAACAACACTTGCCTGCAACTTTTCATATGTTTTCAAAACCACGTCTCTGACGGCTGACTCTGTCCCCTGATACTCTATGATTCCATCTTCTTTAAAACCTGTCTTAAGGGAGGGTGACACTGTGTCTGCCCAGAACCCTAATTTTGACAGGAGTTCCACTTTTGACTTTGTGCTCTTGATTGTTTTCTGGGTTTCTTTTTCTTTTGGTTGCTGTTGCCCTTGTGACTGCTGATTTGGTGGTTCATTTTGACCAGACGACACTTCCATTCCTGATGTCTTGTCTTCTTTAATGTCCTTATCTGCTATTTGATTAGCAGGTGGCTTTGGGGAAAATTGCATAAAAGGAGCTGGGTTTTGGAGTGAGCCTTTTGGGGGAATCGATGTTAGATCATACATAGAAGTTGACTGCCAGGAATGATCTTTGGAACTGTCACCAGAGGGTGTTGGCGGTCGCCCTGAGGGGAATGGCACCATGTTGTCATCTTGTGATGTTTGATGTAATGGCAGCACCCTCACACCTATTGCAAATAAAACAAAAATGGCAATTGAAAATGAGGTACTGGTAAGGAGTTTGCTGGAAAAATATGTATTGCTGCTATAATTTGCAGCAAATTTGCAAGAACATATATAAAATTCTTTTGTGTACGTTTGCAAGAAGAGTTTGGGGAAGGCCTAATATTTTGCTAAGGGGACTGACATGTACACCATTTCTCTGAAGAGAAATAAACAGGTTTTTATAAAAATATCACACCTGAGAATTTGTCATTCCATAATTAAAAGGAAAACAAATAAATATTATTTAAATCATTCTTTTTTTTTCAATATCCATATTAAACATTTTGAAGGCAATTAAATATCCAAGCGAAATTGCACCAGCATGCTTTATTACATCCAGTGCAAAAATTCCATACACAAACAATATTAGTACTTAAATCTTATCAAATGGCTGCATAAGTCTCAGATACTTTATACAAACATCAAAAGTTATAAGATGACTCAAAGTGTGATTATAAATTAAATGTGGTTGAATAACAAGTGTACTGATATACGAGGGTTGATTGATAAGTAGTGAGCCTCATATAGAAGGGGTACACATTTTACAAGTATTTTTCTTTATTTTTCAACATAGTCTCCTTGAGTATCTATACACTTTTGCCAGCGAGTTTTGAGAGCCTCTATGCCACTTTTATAGAAGCCCTTCTCTTGGCCGTTCAGAAACCCCTCCACTTCACGTATGACGTCATCATCTGACACAAAGTGAGTACCTGAAATGGCCTTTTTCAATTTGGGAAATAGATAATAGTCAGAGGGAGCAAGATCAGGCGAATAAGGTGGATGTTCTATCAGTTCAAAGCCACACTCGTTGATTGCAGCCATGGCAATGACAGACTTGTGAGCAGGGGCATTTTGCAAAAGTCACTTGCCTTGCTTATTTGAGTGTGCTACCTCGTCGACATAAACTAACCAAATGGCACCAAACTTCAGCTACACACCTTTAAGTAGTCAGGGAATAGAAGGGCTGAAAAGGGATATCCCTGCTTAACCCCTTCCACTACTTATCAATCAACCCTCGTAAGTATAATATATGCAAACATATCGGGGGCATCCTGACAGTCCGAAGGTTGATTGGTCAGAGGGTTCATTGGTCCAAAAAATGGTAACATTTTCATTATTTTTTTTAATCAAGGGTTCACTGGTCTGAAGGTTCTATAGTGAACATTTGGACCATTGCTATGGCCGCAACATATCTCTCCTCTTCCCTGGCCCTAGGATACTATTCTGATGTATATATTCTGGCGTTGTGTGTGTGTGTGTGTGCACGTGTGTGTCTGAAAAAAAGTGGTAGGACATACATGCATCTACATGTACATGTATTCTGGTACCTGCAAAATGTGCCTACTGAGAATTCTTTAATTAAAGTAAAGCATGATGCACCTGCACCATTGCAATGCATAACAAGAAAAAGTCTAAAAAAAGCAACCGTTAATCAGTAGCCTTAGGGTGCTTTCCCAGAGATTTAGATCAATCTAAAGATTAAGTTTTAGATCGACCTAACTCCCTGGGGGTTCAGGCTAAATTGCAGTCAGCTGAGCGGACACCATAGTTAATTACCCCCTTACAGCTTTTAGTAGGCGGGACAGACGCTTAAGCCTGCGAAGCTGACAGTAATCTAGTGAGACTCCCCACAGGGATAGATCGATCTAAAAATCTATGGAAATGGGGTGTTAGCGTTAAGCCGTAAGCATGAAAATGAACCTTTTTGCTGTACTATCTTCCTTAAAACTTCCCCTGGAGGTTTGGGTGGTAAGGGGGGTGGAATGCGGGTTGGGGTTGTTCCCTTGGTCACCTGACTGGATCCTTTAGAAAGGGTGAGCAATCCATTTTTAACATCAATGCATCAGCATACAAATATATTAACTTATCCTGTAAATCTAAGCAAAACAAATTAAAACAAGAAGCTCAGAGAGGTCACTTTAAAGGCAAGCTACTCCTGGGAACTTATTGAATTCCCTGGTACATTGACCCCCCCCCCCCACCTAGTCATCTGTTTATATCTTTGTCAAATCCTATTTAGTCCAAATATGTAACAAGCTGGCGAGTATGTACTAGTATGAATTATTATTTTACAATATAAATATGTTCTATTACCAAATTTACACAAATTTCTCTGTATCCTATATGCTGTACTGGATAGTAAGTAATAGACATTTGTGCCTTCTCTCTATGTCTGTGTACATGTATTTCAACCACATGACAAGAATGGCGGGGATAAGTTATATATAAACAATCCAACTTCAATGCCAAAAATCAAGACTGACTNGGAGAACGGACGAAAATCGGTGCGCGCGCAGGATGTCATCCATAAAATTAAAAAAGTGTGGCCTTACTTGAAGCAGATTGATATGTACATACATACATACATACATACATAATATGAATACTTGCCATTTTTACATTTCTAAACTACTATACACAAAGAATCTATTCAACAAAAGTTTTGCAAAGGGTGACATGCAGAGAAAATTAAGCAATATGCCACTTATTGTTCATGACAGGCTATGGCACTACCCCACTACTAGTATCTATTTAAAATTAACATGCTACATTTGCAAAATGCCTTTTATATTCATATATACTGATACATGCTCGATCATCTTCAAAACATACATACCTTTGTAAGTTTAGAATCAACAGTGTAGAATGGCTTCAAAGTGCCATCCAAATATTTCTGACAATGCTCCCTCCTGAGGCCACCATACCTAATATACTGTTGTGGATTCTCCACTCTTTCAACTTTGGTAACTTTAATGTTTTGATAGCCTGCCAGTCCTCTGGCATCTCGTCCTTGCCCAACTAAATGTGTCTGCCATGTCTTATGAAGCATGTCAGTAATGGCCTGACGCATTCTGCCATCCACTGTGAGTAGTTGGTAACTATCATGACCTTTTTTTGGACTGACCATACTGCTGCCCTTTCCCTTGTACTTCTTGGACCAATATTCTGGTGCACATATAGTGGCACTCTCTGCCAATGCAGCAATCTGATCAGCTCTGCTGCCATGTTGTAGGGCTTGTTGTAGTTTCCAGGACTCAGAACTGCATTCTTTTATTTTACCAGCAAAAAAGCTCATGGCATCCGCCCTGAAGCTGTGAACTTTTGATGCCTCACCTTTGATAACAACAACTGTGGTTTTCTGGTCTGAAATAGAGGAAATTGATCTTGATACACTGAATTTTTTTGGCTAAGAGATAAATCTTCAGTTTTCAAGGACTGAATATTTACACACACTTCTCTTATGGGTGATGTCATAATTGTGATTTTGAGGTAAAAATGGAAAAATTGGTTTCTCAAATTTTTCCTTTACCTAGGCACCCATGGACACAATTTCATGCCATTTAGTGCTTTAAAACCCTGCCAGGGATTTTTCATAAAGGCCTTAGTTCAGATCTTATCATTGAAGAAGCAAAATAATGCCTTTTTATAATTAAAATCTAATTAGGGGCTCAAAACTCCATAGCAAAAACATATGAACCAAAATGACTGTGAGGGTTTGTAGCCCACACACATGTGGTCGACTATGCCAATTTTTGTGATTAAATCTTGTTCAGGGATGAATTTACACCCCATACTGACTGCTTTCACACCTCAAAAAAGAAAGATGTTAAATTGACAATTAAAGCTTTGATTTGCCTGTGCAAATAACAGCAACCAGAAATATGGATGCCAATCCTTTATATTTTCAAGGGTATTTTTATTGTTTTAAATTAGCACAAATATAGACGCATTATAGAGTAAGGAAGAATAAGGAAAAGTTTCACTTTGGCTGTATTCCCAGAGCTTTTAGATCAATCTATCCCCGCGGGGAGTCTCACTAGATTACTGTCAGATAATCCGGCTTAAATGTCCATCCCACCTACTACAAGCTGTAAGGGGGTAATAAACTTTGGTGTCTGCCAGGCTGACAGCCATTCAGCGTGAACCCCCACAGAGTTAGGTCGATCTAAAATAGATCGATCTAATCTCTGGAAATGGGGTCTTTCAGTATCTGGTTGATAATAAACACTTACAGTGCCCTTAACAGCTTAAAAGGGCTTTCTAATCTCATGTGGTCCTGGTCAGGTTCATATGGTCAATAGCTGTATGTATTCATTCTATCAATGATAGGTCACATATAATGACAAAAAAGATGATTATTATCAAAAGATAATTTCACTACGACTAATTAACAGAGGAATCTGCCACCCAGAACAGACCTATACTTATTCCTACACCCAGTGCCTTAGCCTTGTCTTGCAGTGGTGCTAGGTCTTCCTTCGGCAAACTTCGTAACACATCTTCTCTAATTTGCTCCTCTTTGTAGTGTTTTTTCAATAGGTCTTGAATGCTGGGGGTGACAATAGCAACACCCTTCTTGGTACCATATATAAAGATGGTGCTCGTGGCTGGTGAACCACGGGTCCCTGAGGATGCAGCTGAAGCAGTGGCTTGACGTGGGGGTCTGGCATCATCACTACCAGAATCTATGATAATAGAACGTTAAATGTAATACATTAAAAACTTGAAAATTTAGTCAATTTTGAAAAAATTGTCAGAGGACGATTCTCTGCTGATCGACATAAATTTTTACACTTAGAAAATTTTGTCAAACTTGAAAATGGCCCTCCGGATAATTTTGAAAAGTTCTTCACCTAATATGGCCATGCCAGATTCAGGCATTTTCAAATATTGATTAATTTTTTAGAGACGGAATTTTCAAGTCTTTACCATAAATGTACATGTATCTTGCACACATAAGGCTTTTACTTCATCAGACAACTTTTGCATCTGGTCCTAGCCCCTTTAAAAATTGTGACGCACCACTTTCACTTTCAAGCTTCAATTACTGACACACTGTGATCTACAAATATTTTACAATTTCCAACTCCACCACCAATCAACCGATGCACCACTTTCACTTTACAACTATTGTTCCTCATCTATTGCACAGTGTATACAGTTGATTCACTTTCACTTTATGGCTGTCCTTCCTCATCTGTTACCCATGATAGTGCTAGAAATCACTTTCAGATTAAAAACTCTTCTTCATCAACTGATTTGCTTTGTTATACACCATTTTTACTTTAAAATTCTTCTTCCTTATCTGTAACACAGCAATAGACACCACTTCTCATTAAAACTCTTTCTCATTAACAATTCACTGTAATACATTAATCACTTTCAATTTCCAACTTCACTTTCACTTTCTGGCTCTTCTTTTTCATCTGCTACATGGTTATGCCACTTTCACTTAACAACTCTTCTTCTTCACCCTTTTACAGCACACTACAGCACTCACCACTTTCACTTTCCACCTCTCCTTCATCATCATCATCCTCAGCCTTAGAAGCAGCAGCCCCTCCTTGTCTTGACTTTAACTCTTCAAGGAACGCCCCATAAGTTCTTGGCTCCCATACAACGAGATTAATATACTAAAACAAATAAACAAACTGTAAAATTTACCTGCATTGCCCCTGTTAACTTCATTCTTTATATCCAATACAAATCTTATTCATGAAACTTCCTGAATAGATTGGTCCTGAACAGGTAATTCTACTCTATGTTTTCGACTCACAGTACATTATACTACCAGATATTACAAGTGCCAATTTTTTCCAATTTTTTATATTTATTATTTTTATTGAAAGTTTTCAAACTTTTTGGCCATATAAAATTATCACCCAAAATGACAAATACTAGCTTATATTCTGTTAAAAATCCATTAGAAATTACTGATATATATGTTTAAACTATAAAATGATATAGGATCATTGTACGTTTCAGATGCAGTTTGGTCAGTAATACCATCAGCCACAAAAGCTTACTTTGATAATACTGTGCAGACCTGCTGAGTCTCCACAAGGGGGATGCAAAGTCATCAACAATTTAAAGGGATAACAACTGTTCATTTTGGCCAAAAATTGATTTTTTTCTAAAAAAAAATTTTTTTTTTTGTAATATGCTCTTTAGAGATTATTAGAGTGTAGCCATCTATGGAGGTCATGTGATATGTGATGGCAAGCGCAAATTCCAAAATAATTGCGTTAACTGCTGCTTTGGTGTTAAAAGAGAATTTGTTATATTTCTGTGAGTAGTTTACAATGTATTTATTGTAGAATATGGATATCACATGAACAGTTGTTATCCCTTTAAGTCCAGTAAAAGATTACAGTATATTAAAAAAAACTTCATACTCACCTTGACACTTGACTTTGCCCCTTCTCCACCAGCAAACTTCATGATAACGTCAAACATGGTTTTGGCGACAAGTGGGGGTGGGAAGTGCAAGCCACCACATCCTACAGATGGGAAACTGATGGATGGATGCTTTGACTTGGCAGCCATCTTGAGGCATTCTTCCACCATGGCACAGAGAGTCTACAAAATAGGAATAGAGTGTTGTACATTTGGAAATAATTTGAGAAGTTAGTATAATTTAGATGCTTCTCTGTCATGGATCTAGTAACATGACATAAACATAAGGAGACAGATGATTTATAAATGAAAAAAAAAACTGGTTGCCTAAACCCCTTCCAGCTCACACACAGTAAAAAGACTTCCCAATTAGAAAAAAATTACTGTACCTTTCCAATTTACATAAAACACATTAGCAGGTATAACAGATGAAAAAAAAAAAAAAAAAACGAAAATCCAAACTGTTTGTTGAGGTTTGCACTCAGTAGGCAATAAAAGCCAGTCTCAGGTTATGAGATACTTTGCCAGTTCATTGCAGTAGTTGAGACTCAGCAATCACAATCTGTACAGCACCTCCTCAGATCACGAACAGCTCTGTATTTTGGTACCCTCTACCAGGGTGACAG